TGCCCTTACCACATCACTTGAACACCAAATTGGCCAAGACTTGGGCAAGATTCTTTATTTCTAATTGAAGTATAGTTGATCCACAATATTATATTAGTTTCAGGTGTACAACACAGTGATTCAATATTTTTACAGTTATACTCCATTTAAAGTCATTACAAAATAATAGCTATATTTCCCAGTGCTGGACAATATAGGTTTGTTGCTTCAAGATTCTTGATAAGCAGAAAACAGGATATTTAACCAAAGGTAAGTAACTTTTTAAGAAACTATTATTTTAATATTAAATGCTTCCAGATTTGCCTTCACATATCATCCCTTACATTCCCTATCATTTATACAACCTGGTATCTTAAGTTGGTAAAGAACAGCTTAAGGTTACTCCCCTTGACAGCTACTCCTTACAAGGCACCAAAATGTACAGATTTCTCAAAATGAGAAGAAAAAAGAATCTCACCTTTTGGTAGCCTGATTTGATTAAATTATCCAAGATTACTAGGCATTCTCCAGCAAAGAGCAATCTTGAACCTGACTTCCTAAGGACACTCCATTTTAGCACTGGCTAAACCATCCCTAGAACTCCAGAGCCATACTTTCTAGAATTTATCTGGTACTGGAGCCTTAAGTCAAAGCACTCATGAAAAGCTACATGTAACTTAGCTCCTCTTACCCACTAGTAATCTACATTCAAAGCTTTAAAAAGTCGCATCACTTTTTTTCTTCAACTCCCATTGTCATTGCTTTTATCCTTGTTTTCATATTTGAAAAAAATAGATCAGATACATAAGCTTTCCTCCAAAGCACACTTCTCTTATAAAACTCTTCCTTGATCACTAAAGCAACCTGTTCATAATAAAGCTATAAAAATACAAATTTAACAACTACGGATACATTATCTGAGATGCATTCATGGTGAAGTGGTTTTCTAATGGTGGTGATAGATTTTGGGTCTCTCACCTGGTTTCCTTTGGAAAGAAATAGTCTGCTGACAGAGAGCAAGATATCTAAATATATAGCATACAAAGCCTCTAAAATTTAAATATAGATTCAAAATTCCCAGTTACTCAAATAGCTACTACTTAAAGAAAAATATTCCATTGCTATCATTTGGTAAAACTGTTATAGTGGATCCACTATATAAAAATCTAATTGTGATATCAGTAGGTAAGGTTGCTTAAAGTAATAAAGGCAACAGGTAGCAAAGACTGAAGCTAGCTTATGTGATCCAAAACAATCCATTTACCAGTCCAAGATCATATGTAACAGGCTTAAGTACTTTAGAAAATGCTATTCCCACAGTTGACCTTTGAAGAGCCATTCCCTGCTTCTCAAATTTCTAATATTTAAAGACACAATTCAACCTTACAGACCCAATTATAAAATTAGCCTCTGACTCATAATGGTTAGATGTTGGCTGGTGTAAGCTTCCCCCCACTCCCTAATCCAGGAATCTCCTTCATAAATTTCTGAGAGAAGACTATTTAAGCCCTTTTACACCATATGTTGAAAAGATCGCTAAACCTGGAAACACTGAGCTGGGTTCTAGCCCAGGGTCTGCCATTCACTATCTGAAATGTCTTGGGGTAAGCCATACCACTTCTACAGGCCTGTTTCTTCATGCATAAGAAGTAGGGAGTGACAAGATGACCTCAAAGGTCTCTTCCTGAAGTTACATAATTATGATTTCCAATGAAGTCACCATTTTAAGAAAAAATTCATTTCATCTTTACAGAGCTCCTATAGTTAGAAAGGACTTTTTAAATTTTCAGAGAATCACATTCTTCAACCCTGAAATTCCACTTCTTGAAATCTACCCTAGAAAAATGACCACATGTGCATAGAAAACATCTATTAGCATTGTTTACAATAGTAATAAATTGAAAACATCCAATTATACCATACTGCAATAAATAAAGTATGGCACAATACTATGGGATACTATACAACAGTTAAAAAGAATGAAGGAAACCATACACTCACTAATAAAAAAAACCCTCCAAATCATACTGTTAATGAAAACAATTGCAGAACATGTACATTTTGATGCCATTTATGAAAGGCTATGAAGTTTTACAAAAGGCTCTCTACAAAGAAAAAAATATTCTGGAACTGCACAGTCCAGTACAGCAGCTGCCAGCCACACATGACTACTGATCCCTGAAATGCAGCTACTGTGACTGAGAAACTGAATTTTAAATTTTATTTCATTTTAACTACTTTAAATTTAAATAGCAACATGTGGCTAGCGGCTACCGTACTCCACAGTACAAGTCTAGAAGAAAAATCTAAACTGATAACAGTGGTTAGTGACCTCTGGAGAGAAAACTAGATAGGAGAGTAGGGGGTGAACCAAGGCCAACTTTTGCTTTACGGGCATTATTTGAATATTTTAAAGCAAGTAATACTACTTACATAAAAGTAAAATTGAAAAAGAAAAATCCCTATTGATATTGGGCCAAAAAATCTGCCTATGAACCACAGTAGAAAGAATTTAGTTTTCTTTTGCTTTTGCCATACCTGGAAAAAACTGAGCCAAGTATGGTAGTTTGAGTCAACTTCCCTAAAAACATCTTTGAATCACATTTCCTCATGTCTCTCCCCCAAACTCTCTCCCCTCCACATCCCCCTTTTCTACAACTGTAGTAACTTCTGGTACAAAGGCCGCAGCAATACAATTATAGAAGTTATGGCCTATTATCAGGGGAGTAGGACATACTTTCTAATGGGGATAATGGATTTGTGCCTCTCTAAGCAACAACTCTCTGGTACTGTAAAGAAAATTGTCATAGCTCCCTAAGTCTTCTCTTCTCCAAGCCTAAACAGAGCCAGAAACTCTTCACCATCCAATGGCTCTACTGTGGCTCAAAACAACAACTCAGGATAGAAACACTTCTTAGAGACTTCCCTTACTGGCATGGCATATTCACCCAGAGTCTCAGCCCAGACTTCCTAAAAACCTGGTCATTCACTTGTTCATCAATATTTACTGAGTGCTATTAAATGCCAGGCACTGCACTTAGGGGAGAAGATAGAGCAATGAACACTATCTGTGTCACCAGAGCCTCTGCCCCCCAAAGCCTTATCCCCAAAAGTTCTACTTCGGTTGGTAAACACTAAAAAACTTCGATTTCAATTCATTCCAGACAGTCTGACTCACTCTGTGCTGAATACCACCAGGACCATGAAAACCACACAGAGTATCTTTATCCAAGTTTCTAATACAAGTAATGGAGATCTATATAACATGTCTAAATACTCCAACACAATAGGTAAGTCCAATGAGTAATTTCCCCAAATGTCCCTTAGACCAGGTTTTCAACAGTCCCTAGCAAAAATGTGGAAAAGAACAATGTAGCAAATGAAATAAACTTATTCTATATAAGTCTCTTTCTTATGAAATCATGTCCTACCACCTTTTTTTTCTTTTTTTTGTTTTTGTATTAATATTCTCTATTTCATGAAATAATAATGGTTTAGGTAGAAAGTGGGAAGTACCTGGTTTTTGTTTTGTTTTTAAACAGTTTTACTTACCAAACAACAAGACAGCAATCAAACCTCTATACCAAGTATTCGTTGATATTTAATTTGTCCATGTCATCCACTAATTTAAAAGGTTCAAGAATGTTTCCTCCACCCTAAAATGCACACCCTGAACATACAGAGGTGGCAATTACTCCTCCAAAAATACACCTCTGTAAATTAAACAATTACATTTGGACACAAGGAAAAGGTAAGCTTTCCCACTCCTTTGCTATATTATTTACAAAAATATTAGTATCACAATAAAACAGACCCAAACACACAGGATTACAAATATGCAAAAGTCTAATCAAAGTATATTGTTGACAGTATATAATTATACTGTTAACAATTATAACTGATGACACTTACTTCAGTAACAATAAAAGTAGCCAAATTCTTATCTAGGTTTTTCTATCTAGTCTTAAATATCATCCACACTGAGTAACCGGGTTTATATTTATTAAGCTTCAGAAAGCTGCAGATGTGGGGGTGGGAGAGAAGAGAGAAAATGAGGGAAAAAATAACTTTTTAATAATAGCTTACTACAAACTATCACATAACTAAATGACTAGCACTAGCATTGACAAAACTGCAAATTTTACTTAGTAGTTGCGAGACAAGGCTCCCACAAGACACCTACCTCTTCCCACTCATCTATCCCCCAACAAAAAATACATTTGTCCTTACCTTCTGGTAATCTGTATGCTTTTATGTAAGGGTTAAAATGTACAAAGGTAATAAAACACAGCATAAATAAAAGGGTTTTCAAGTCAGGCAGGCCTAAATTCCCCAGATCTGCCCCTTACTGTCTGTGTGTGACCTTGGGCAAGTCATTCAACCTCTTCAAGCCCCACTAGACTGTAAGCTCCGTAGGAGCAAAGACCACTTCTGCCTGACTTACTACTGTAGGCACATGGCACTGAAAAATCAGTTTCTTCTTGTATAAAGTAAGGATGTTAACAATATTTCTCTCACAACGTTAACTGAAGGATTAAATGAGATATTATGTATATAAAGCTCTGGCACAGTGCCTGAACATGGTAAATGATCAATAAAATTAACTGTTTTTGACATCAACTAGCAGCTATCAAACCTGAAAATACTGTTTGAAGACTTTCAAACACTAATATACAAAGTCTTCACCCAGTCAGTGTAAACTGCTCAAGTGATAAAACAATATTTCACACAAAACTTACGAATAGTTTCTAAATCACTGGGCTGGGAGTCTAATAATAGATGAACCCTGAATTATGCGCAACAGACCCAAGCTATTAAAAGACATTTAGTAGACTCCAAGTTTTTCTACTTCAATAATATGCCATAGGCATCCCCATTGGCTTCCCAATCTCCCCTTCGGACGTCTCCGGCTGTCAGGGAACCCCCTCCTCCGTACTTAGAGGGAGGAGAGAGAAAACCTCCGAGGCGGGGGCCGGGGTTGGGGGACAGCGCGCATCCCCGCGCCACTCGCCCGGACCCACCTTGAGCAGGATGGATGGCGGCAGCTGATTGATGTCTGGGGTTTCAGGGGATGGCTCCCTATGACAGTCGCACGGATTTTCGGGGGTCTCCTGACAGTCCGCGTCGCCGCATTCGTGGTGCTGCTGGGCGGGCGAGGGGGCGGTGCCCCCCGCTCGGACGGCGTTTCCACCGGCCTCTGTGGGGGCACCTTCCGAAGTGGGAGAGGAGCGCTGGGGGCAGAGAGGCTGCGGTGGCTGCTCTGGGCCCTGGCAGCAGCCGGCGTCGGGGGGCCGCGGCGGCGAGGCGCCTCCCCCCGCAGGTCCTCCTCCTCCGCTGCCGCCGCCGCCGCCGCCCCCACCGCCGCCGCCCATGTCCCCCTCGTGGAGCGAGCGCTCCGTATCCCCTCTGCGACCTGGGCCGGCGGGGGCGGGCGCGCCGGGGCTGTGCACGATGAAGCAGAGCATGCAGGGCCCGCGGAAGAAGCAGTCCCGGCTTCGGGGCGCCGCCGGCTGGGGTGGCGCCTTGGCCGGGGTCCGGCGGGGCAGCCTGAGGAGAGGGCGGCGGCGGCGGCACCAGCTGCAACAGCGAGGCCTCTTCTGGCTTGGGCGGTTACGCGGCTCCTTCGAGAGAAGGTGGCCCATATAGAAGGCCCCGAGTAGGGGGACCGGGATAGAGAAGTAGGGAGGCCAGGACAGCCGGGCTCCCGGCAGCGAGGCAGGCCCCTCTCTGGCTGGGCCTCGGGCCCGCGGCGGGCGGCGGGGTCGCCCGCCTTGCGCACACACACGCACACACACGCACACACGGGCACACACGCGACGGTGGGGGGGTGGGCGTCAGCTGCGGGCCGGCCTGGCGCCGGATGGGGGCTACATGCTTTGCCCCGGGAAGCCGGGAGACGATGGGCGCGAGCTTTGGGGACGCGAGGAGGGAGCGAGCCTGCCGGCTCAGTCAGTCAGTACGGCTGCAGGGGGAACGCGAGGTCCGTCTCGGACCATTTTAACTGCAGCTCCGCTGGCGGCGCGCGCGCCCGCGACACAGCTCGGAGCCGCAGGAGCGCGCGACCTGCTCGGGGAGGGGGCGGAGCCGCGGCAGCGGCGCGCTCGGGGCGGGGGCGCGGGCGCCCGGCTGCTCACCCGGGACGGGTGGGGACTGCTGGGAAGCGGGCCGCCGAGGGTGCGGGGCTCGCGGGGAGCTGCGCGCGCCCTTCCCTCCTGTCGCCCAAGGTTTCGCGTAGCCCACGCCCCTTTTGTGGGGCGGGAGGAGACGCTTCCGAGCCAGCTGTGTGGCATCCGTTTGCACTGCCGCGCTGACGCCTCTAGGTATAAGTTCAAGGACTGCTATTGGCCGGGAGCCGCTCGGCTCTTTCTTTCACCCCCACCTCCGGACTCGGAGACCCGGGCCACGAAGAACAGGTAAACTCGATTCCGCCTGAAGGCCGACTTGGGTCCCCGGCGGCCCCTCGGGTGGAGTGGCAGATGCGCGGCCCTGGGCTGGTGAGGACTCTAGTTCTCACGTGAGGGACTAACAGCAGGTAGTGCGGCACTGCAGTGTTTCTCCACTTGTTTGCATACTTGTTGCTTGTGACAGACTACTGATTTTCCATAACTTTATTTCAGAATGAAAGCATATATCAAATTATTTATACACACCAGAAAGATAAACAGTTTTTTCAACCCAGTTAGTCATCCAACATCCCAGGCTGCAAGCTATGGATGACTTTATTGTCTGCACCCTCCAAGTCCCATCTATCCATCCATCAGGTACAGTACTTTAAAAATGATTATGCAGTGCCTGCTCTAAGATAAAAGGTTCTAGGCAGACTTGGGAGACCCAGATGAAAAAGAGGAAATAGTCTTGGCAGACAACCCTTTAGAAGATTTGCCTACAATGAGACCAGAGAAAGAAGGCAATAACTAGGAGCAGTACCTGGTGTTGAGAGGTTAGTTTTCACAAGGGAGAAATCGGGAGAGGCTTTTGCAAGGAATTGGACATGCTGATGGGAATGAGCCAGTATAAAGGAGGAAGTAGGGAAATGAGAAGAGATAATACAACAAGGCCCCTGAGAAGATGGAGTGACGATTACCTTGGGAGAGATACCGTCTTCACTGTGACTGGAAGGAAGGAGGAAAAGATAGATCAAGGTTAAATACAGATAGGTGGGCATTTTTGGCAAGAAAGTGAGAGTTCCTTTCAAATGGTCTCTACTTTAAGTGGAGCCTGGTTACATACTGAAGGGTGGAAGGTGGCCGATGTTTTTAAAAGCTACTAAGGGTAACTGAGAGAACTTACTGAGGAAGCAGTATTGCAATATTCAAGGCCTGTCAGCGTAGAAACCTTTGTTTGAGCATGCCTGACTTTCCCATCACAGTGGCCAGCCTCACCCCACCTTCACCCAACGTACCATCAAACCTTTGCTAATAGAGGCCTCTTTGTCAGGAATCACTTTTATTTTTGGTCTGCCAGCATTCAGGGATCTCCCTTTCTCAGCTTAAGAACAGTGAGATGGAATTCCAAGAAACCTAGAGGCAAAGATTCATCAAAGGGTTTAACATACATTTCTATCAAGGCACTGCCCAAACTACATTTACCTACAGGTATTATCCACACAGCTTTCATCCCTCTGACTTTAAAGGGTTCTTTCAGGGCCCCAGAGCTTCACTGGTGAGGAAGGGAGGTTAGGAGTGACAGGGTTACCTGAGGCCTTATAACAAATCCTTTGCATCTCTTCCAGGCTACACTTTGAGCAAAAGGAGAGTGTGTTCTAAGCCTTTTTATTACTCTCTCTGTGTCAAAATTGTGGACCCATTAGCTTCATATAAGTCAAATACACATTATGACCTAGCAATTCCACTTATAGGTATTTATCGAAGAAAAATAAAAACTATACACACAAAAAGTGCAAAAATGTTCATAGCAGCTTTATTCATGATAATTAAAATCTACAAACAACCTAGATGTCCATCAGTAGAAGAATGGCTAAACTGGTATGCTCATTCGATAGAACACTACTCAGCAATTAAAAGGAAGGGAGGGAGGGAAACAACATGAAGGAATCTCAAAAAATTTAGGCTGAATTAGACTCTGGAGTCGGAGGCCTAGAATTTTTACCTGATTTTAACAAGCTCTCCATGTGATTACTGCACAAAACAGCCTGGCACCATGCAGACCTATTAGAACTACACATAAAATCTAAGTACAGCTTCTTGTTTTCAGAGGTGAGGCAAGTGACTCTGAGACTTTTGAAGTGGTTTCTGAAATATACAGCACTGGTTCTTCCAATTCCAGAGCCATTCAGCCACAAGCAGGTGGCTGCTGTAGCAGAGGGTTTCATATGTTTTAATAAGGATTAAGCTGCTACTATTGCCACCAGAGCTATAATGAGTTTTAGAACTCATTACCCTAAGTGATAATACTGATAAGTATTCTAAATATTCAGGAGACAGAATTATGAGTAAGAGTAATAAATTGCAATTTAGAGATAATTATAGCACTGGATGGCCTTTTTAATGAGAAAAAGGAAAGCAGCCTGAACAACCAGGAGCTAGCCTGGAACTATTTGCTAGGCCTTGGTGTTACTGGCATTCTCAACTAGGTTTGAGTGTTCTGTTGTACAAAAACAATCTCACAAAACATCAACATCGAACATGGCCACTTTGTGATCATAACAGACAAGAAAAAAATAAGATGCCTCTGTAATCATGTCTGAACACAACCAACACAAGAACACTCCAAACAACAAAAATGAACAAACATTCTGCCTAATATAAGTGATTACTGTTTCTTGACCAATTACAACCTAAGCCTTGCTCCACTCTTCCTACCTTCTAGATAACAATTATTAAAATATCCAATCATAGAATAATCTCTGCTTCCTGACAGCATCCAATCCAGAGCAAAGCCTTAAACCTTCCTCAAAATCACCAAGCACAAGCCCAATCTTTTAAGTCTTTTACACCTTTTTATTGAGACTCTCCACAATTCCTCACATGTGCTATGTGCCTTTTTGTAACAAGTCAGTAAACTCAACTTGGTTCAACGATGGGTGTGCTCCTGTTGGTCTTTGGCTGGAGAGCATTAACATTTGTTATAATCAAATGTCACCACGCTGTCTAAAATTACTCCCCTTTATGCTGTACACCTTAAATTTTATAGTGTTGTATGTCAATTGTATCTCAATTAAACTGAAATAAAATTACACCTTCCTTTACTTTTCCTCTTACAGTGCTTTTATTTTCTTTATATCTCATTAGCACGTGTCTGTTTTGTCATTTTTTTCACTTTTAGTCTCCAATGGAAGAGTGTAAACTCCATGAGGACAGGGACTTCGCTCAGTTTTTAGGAAGATAATCTGGCAACTGTATAGAAAATGGGCTAAAGTAGGAAGAGGCTCTTAGCAGGAAGACCAGTTAAGACTGTTTGAAAGATCAATGGATGGGCCTTAAAAGCATGAATTAAGGGCAGCATGGTGGAGATAATGAAGTAGGGGTGGGACTGAGAAACATTTTTTATGTGGAGTTTTCAGGATTTAGTAACTTACTTATGAATTAGATAGAGAGGAGGGGATGATGGATAGGAAAGAAATGAAGAACCCCAAAATAGCAACATGTATATTCAGATGACTTATTTCAGTGTATAACATTGTGGTGAAATAATGGATTCTACAATATAAAATATTTACATATTTGAATAAAATTCAAACCTGGAGTAGATATGTATTATAACATAGATTCACAATGAAAGCCAGCACATAAATTTAAAATGTTGAAAACAGTTTAAAATAAAAGTTTCTTTCTTCTTTGCTGATATAGAATATATGTACTCACTTTGAAATTCACATTTGCCTATAGAAACACACCCACATATAAAAAGCTTTCATGCTTACAGTTGGCTAATGATGGTTGTTATTAATGGCTAAAACATCCTATGGCACCAGTGATGTAAGTAGAGATCAGTTAATGTGCCATTGGTCCCACTGATTGTGGTAGGTGCAATGGATGACCTAGAAGGACACTCTGGGGGCAGAAGACATTGTTTATGCATCTGGAAATCATGCAAAACCCCAAGTGTTCAATAAATTTAATCCATTATTGAATTGCGTTTTTGCTGCAATACTCAAAGCCAAAGATAAAGATAACTTAGCAAGCTTTCAGAGAATTCCCTTAAGGAACTGATCTGTGCTCTTTAATAGTTTGTTTCAGGCACAATATAAAAGTGCAACTGGTACCTCACTGGTTTTCCCTCAGTTCTTCCATGACTGATTCGTGCTCATCTTCCAGGTCTCAGCCCAGGTACCACCTCCTGTCACAAAAGCTTTTCCCTGGTGTCATACCACCCTGTTCATTTCCTTTACAGCAGTTACCAGAGTCTGCAGCTGTGGTATTTTCTTTTAGTATTAGTTGACTATCACCAGAATTAAGGCCCACTTTGTTTACCCTTGAATCACCAGCACCTAAAGTCACTAATCAGTTGCACTTTAAAGGGAAATTATTCTGGGTGGGCCTGATGTAGTCATGTGAAATCTTTAAAGACAGTCTGGAAGTCAGAATAAAGGAGATTCAAAGCAGCAGCGGTTGCTTTACCTTTGGCCTTAAAGAAGCAAACTCTTACGTTGAGGAGAGGGCTGCACCTGGCTGATAGCCAG